AATGGGATACCCGGATTATCCATTCACGTCCTCAATGCGGCCACTATCCTGAGCATCATGTACTATGGATAAAAAGGCTTCCAGTACTGTCCGGTATCCCAATGGCTCTGAAGGCTTAACGTGTTTATATTCTAAAGTGTTTTGTTGAATTTTAGGGAAAATCGTTCCGTTAATAATATTTCATATAAATGTAAAAACTAAACTGAATTCTGTTTTAATACTGCCGCTGCATTTATTACATGTATTATTTATTTTATTTTGCTCCAATAATTATTTTTATTAAACACTATGTTTAATATAAATGGTTAATTAATAACAATTTATTGTTTAAAGTTTCATCGATTAAACTATGTAAAACCGCATAAAATGTTTTATTCCACGAATAGAGACTTTCGAAGTTGACTCAGTGGACTTAGTTATGATCGACGATGAAATCGTAACCAATCGGACGGTTTTATATAATAAGAGCAACGACCTGTGTCGAGAAATAAAACCATTGACGAGACTAATCCAAACGGTTTTCAAAAACCAGTCAAGTTCACATAAACCTACATAGATATATAATTCGGAATTCGACTATACGTATAAAAATAGAATCCTTTATATCTTGTGTGGTTGTTTTCTATAAAATCTTACTGTCGACTTTGTTATGGCAAATTCCGCATACCATGACATTAAAGAAAACAACTAGATATACATAGGTACAAATTGACAATAACAAGTTTATAAATTTAAATATGATTTCTCATATACTCTTGTTAATATATCGATTCTACAGACCGACGACGGCGGAAGAACCTATTGTCGGAATGACGACTTCACTGATGTCATTTGACAACAATTTAAACTCTTGTGAAGACACGAACATATAAATAATATGTATAAAATATGTCAGAGCTTCAACTTGGAGGGGCAACAGTCCAACACCTAACTTGAGACGCATTCTGAATGACAATGAGAGTACAAAAATGAGTAACAAATACAAATGTGATGCGATACATGTGTTGTAAAGCAAACAATATATATTATGAATGTGTTCAACACAAAGGAAAAGAAAGTCCCGCCATTGACACCTCGTTGAAACTAGCAACTATTGATCTGTGGCAAAGAACCATAAATAACTTAGCAAAATTGGGTCTATGGCACAAAATATCTAGGCGGATAGTGTCAGTAACTAAACTGTACTATTGAGCAATAACAATTAAAAAATGAAAGTTATGTCGACGGAAATAATAGAAATATTTTAGACCTGCGAAGTGTGATACTTTCGCAACTTTTATAGTAACACACATACAATGTATAGCTCTAGTGCTGTTACAGGTCCGCTATTAGTCCTACTTAATAAAGCTGTGGTATATATGTGGATAAATTATGTTACATTCTTATAATAAATTATTCAATTCGACAACAACGTTAAATAACCCAAATAATAGGTATTAATAATATAAAATTCTACAAGATTCTATAAGCCTTTTTTTTGAGGTGGGAAAATCATCCAATGACTTCTCCCGCCCGGGTGAGGCGGGAGGGCGTGTCAGACTCTTACTGACTAAAAACCACCCCGGGGCTCCGGCTCGAAGTGCAGGAGTAGGAACTCCTGCACTTCGAGCCGGAGCCCCGGCAACCCGTTAAGTCTTCCGCGGCTCCGTAAGATTCTATAAGCCTAGAACTTCTTTAGATGGCCTTGTCAGATAACAAAACCCTTAACAATAAGGGTCTAAAAACTGAAAATACTGAAGATTTAAAATCAAAATAGCCAGACTGTGTAATAGCTACGTTCAAGTAAATGGTTAGTATGCTTGGGTATTGTCTTGTTCATACACATTTACCAATATTGTCAACACGTCAACCTCATCAACAAAGCATTAACGTGAAACCCTGTTCATTTCATTTTTAAACGACTGTTTGTGTACCGTTTAAGTCAACATTCACTTTACACATACAGTTAAGCATTTCGAAACGAACATTTATTTCGAAATAAAGTTTCCTGCTATACAACTCGAAGTTTGTATAGAAAGTATCATCTTCTGTTTAGTCATTCTCTGTATTTTGGTGGAAAACAATATGAACAAAATGCGAGTGTAAATGATGAGGTAAAAAATGCGTGTAATCCTCGAAACGCACGGGAGTTCACATGACATTACCATGTGTCACGAAGTGATGCGCGTCAAAGGTTCATCGACCTCAGTCGTCGACCGCTTTCGCTACAGATCCATAATCACTAACTCCGGCCAGGCCAGGTATTCGTGCATTACACAAATTCCCTCTAGATGAAGCTTCGCTGACCTTTGACTTAACCCCACTGCAATCCTTGGATCGTTTCAACGTTTGAATTTTGCCTGCGGCTAATATATATTAACTCGGTGCCTGTGACTATCTCGAAGCTATTTTAAATGAAATGAAATCAATGCTCCTCTGTTTTTTTATGTTAGTTGATTAATTGAGTTCTCGTTAATCATTAAAGTTAGTCTTATCTGTCGAGTTAATAAAATCCTAGATTTTAAAATACTAACAATAAGTAACTAAGCAAATAAATGTCTATGTAATGTATATTGTGTTTACAAAACAAAGTTCTCAGAAAGGCACGACAACTAAAAGATCTGGCCTCGGGCCGAACAACAGAACGTTTTAAGTTACCAACTGCGACGGACTATAAATATGGCAGAGAGGTACTAGAGATACATCAACTTTCGCAATAGAACGTTACAGAAATCGTTAGATTAGAGCTACAAGTCAACTCCATGTTCTGTGTAGAGATTCAAGGTGATCCGGTCGCGACGCAACTCACTGGCTCTTCGCTGCTCCACGGGTAAGGTACTAACTTACAAACATACATATGTGTACAGTACACAGGTACCTGTGCGACAGGCTGTGCCTACCTACATACAAATATACAAATATTGCGCTACAATATTTCCCCATCGCGTGTGGACCTAAAACAACGTGTCGGCAGTTAACTCGCGCGAAGCTTCGGGCAGTTACATCATAGGTGTCACCTCGCAGTCCACCATTAAACACGATCCTCCCTTCCCTGTAGGCCACTACAATTAATGATCGTACCGCCTGGCGAGCATATTCTGATGTATTGGCTGGTAAATCGAGCCCAGCTCAGTCATAAGAGACGGCACTATATGATGAACGATAATGTCTTTGCTCTATTCGTCACAAGCTTATTATACACAATACCATTCTAAAACTTTTTGATTTCGCACTAACCGTATGTTTTATTGTTTATTTAAATTGGCTCACGAACAATGTATAGTTTACATATAATCGCATCTGTTTACAAATAAAAACTTCATAAAATCGTCCTTCGAACAAATGATTGACATAGTATAAATATTTCTTGGAAACGTTTAGCTTTCATGAAGAAATTATATTTTTTCATCATTAAGTGACATTAATGAGACTGTAATGGAGCCTAAGTATTGTTATCGACATCTTTACATTGTTATATGTTTCCACGCACAGCAATTACAACACTAAGTACCGGCCGGTACACGGAACCAACACATCTCCTCACAGATTACATAACTCGTGTAAACATTAAATATAACTAAGTACCAGTCACGGATGATGAACAACTCATACATTATCATTATTTTATCCTCCGAAACTTTTTATAGTGTTTTCCTCTCAAGCAAATACTTGACAAAAAATGTCAAATTAAGTTTTGCAAAGTCAGTCAAAATTTAATTATGTTTCCAAGGTTTCTTGAAGTTAACTACGTAATAATACACGGCGTTCATTAATTTTGAAGCCTGACAAGAAGTGGAATTACTGGTAAATAACTATAGATACGGCATGTACACAAAATGTTGAAGTAAATTGCAATTGTGCGGACGTTTGGGAGTGGTATGGTGACTAGCTGACTAGTAATCAATACGAACGACTGGCCACGTAGCGTACCATGTCACATTAAGTGCCAATCATAATGCAAAGACAACTTTCTTACTTTCAGCGATCATTAGCATTCAATAACATAAAAACAAACAATATATTTTAACTACTTCCTACATAACCTTCATATTCAACACATCTACATAGGTTTTAATTCCTACCTTATGTTTATGTTTATGTTTTGATTTTTGAGTATACGAAGGACGAACACGAAGGGTGCAACATGATTGACAATAACATCGGAATATATTGGAAGTTATATAAAAACATGCTACAAAATAAAGTATTACAAGCAATACTCGAGGAACGTGACTTCTCCTGATTTCGTGAAGTGCAGTCTCAGTCAATATCTTCGTTGTCACCTCAACACTAATGATAATGACACGTTGTGCGCACAGATTCCCCTTATTTCATTATTGCTGTGATAAAACATTGTATTACACACGAATAAGAGATAAAATACGCCTGTCATGTCCACTAACTAATTATCAAGCTACTTCTAAGAACTTTGATGTCTCTGTCTACACTAAGTTTCCACATTTTTCAAATAATCTTGGACATTGCTAAAATTAAAAACATTTCAGTGCAGCTGTTATTGTTATTAACACGTAAGTTGCGTATCGATAAGCTTCGCATGATTGCTGACATTGTAAATGTTTAACTTTCAAACTACATAATACACTTATGAGAAAACTCTAAGAAAATCTTTATAACGGAGAAAAGTAAACATAATATTCTAAACCAAAGTAAAGTTGAGTAGTTTCACAATATTTTAGATAGATATGTTTAATTACAAGGTTCTTATACGTAGTCGGTCGTAAAAATCACTTTACGTTTTAGACAGGAAGTTTTAGCATTTATTTAAATGAAACTTGTATAAACTTCATGCGTATACTTGTAAATGCATTCAATACAAAAGATTCCCATTTTTATGAAATACTAAACTGCATATAACATAATGTCTCATTCCGTACACGATAAGACTCTACAAGAATTATCGAGTCTTGACCTAGACAATGGAACACGTAGTATCCGCCGTTTAAATAAATTATTATGTCTATTAAAGAACTTATGCTATTTACGATTGCCAATGTACTTACCGCGAGTAAGGCGTCGTTTCCGTACGCTCGTCCTTCTAGAGCCAGTTCTTTGTCGAGCATAGCATCTAGTTGTTCGAGCTGGTGGCATGAGGCGCGTGCCGACACCCAGCTGGAGGCGAGGATGAACGCTCCCAGGATGAATGAGGCTGCTACCACCGTCAGCGCCGCGATCCGAGCTATTTGTACAGATGATGACACTCGCTGTCTGTACGCCTGTGATCAACAAAATTTTCATATTAGAAAACAAATACATTTGTGCATCCGCAAAGAGATAAAGCACAAAATAACCAGAACCAAACTATATTTAGTCAGTAGTGTTACCTCTATATCCTCCGCAATAAAACGGAAGACCCCTATATAGATTTTCCACTTTGTAGTCAATATGGAAATCGTAATCAATGTGTCTGTCACTTATTTTACCATGTTACCAAAATAGTCTGTCGTTATTACAGGATCAAAATATTAGAATAATATTTAATATCTAGACTCTCCATAACATAAACTGTAAACAGTAATTATGATTTAAAGCATGACTGGCCGCCTGGAAAACATGAGCAGGTACCTACTACAGTTAATAACATACGACAGTGACAGTGTGACAAGCCGGTATTCAAAACACCTCCATGACAAAACCTTGAAAGAAAAAACATGGCAACAATTGTCGTATGCTGTATTAGAAATACTTGAAACTGACCTATGGCCTCGTGGACAGGTAGGTGTGTTACTCGTACCTACCTAAATTACTTGTCTACTTCCAATGAGTGATGAATGACATAATCATCTGAGGTATGTGGATTAAATTAAATAATAAGGTATTTCTATTGTACATTATCACATTTTTCTAATCAAATACGAATGGAAAACACTATAATATACATACATAGCGGTAATGTACAGTAACAATTATAGATAAATCACGTAATTCATGTTCATCTTTATATTGTATTCTGTATTCATCGGTTGATCACAGCTGTGTGGTGCATATTCAAAGAAATCGTTCAATCGGGCCGCACCGCGGTGTGAATCAACATTCTATTCTAATGCCGGTCGTGATAACTTTTGCATGGCAAGCATCAAGACCTGGAACTGCTGATATGTAGGAGGTCACCCACTACATACCACTGTATAGATTTACATCACAAACATGTAATAAACCACTTAGCCAACTAACTATTATATGTATATCCATTATCGACTTGGGTTTTAGACGTATAAATTAATATTTTTATTGTATAAATTAACAATACAAAAGGAGTAAAAACTACTTTGACTCTATTACCTAAAACTTGGATATGTGTATAATGGAATTGTCCTTCTTTTTACATACATACCTATATAAATAATAATAATCATCGTTTACCATTCAGTCCGAGGTAACAATTTTTAACAAAAACGTGAGAATTTCCCATTGGAAAAATGATTATAGAAAACTAACCAAGTGACCATTTATATAGCTGTTGTATGAACTATTCATTACAAAATTGTAGCTTGAAAAATGTATTGAAATATTACAATTATTTTTAACTGTAAAGACTTCAACGCGTTTTCAAATCAAGGTAAAATAATAACTTTGAAACTATTGTTTTAACTTAATATATCTGGATAACTATGCTCTTATTTTTGTAGGAAACATGGTCTTAATTATTGTACATCGTATTCAACGCAAATGTCAAGCTCATAATGGCTCTGTCTAAACGAAACTTACGTAGTTGTTATATCATCTTTTTTCCGGGTAACCGACATGCTTGCAAAGAAGACATACATATAAATTATCTACAATATGTTTGTATGTATGATAATATTATGTTATTGAGTACGTGCACTTATAATATTATAGAATTTTAATTCCATGTAGAGATGTAATACTTTTTGTAACAGAAACTTTTGAAATTCCGTATTGGCAGCATAGTTTTAAGACATCTAAGAATTGGTTTGCCAGAAAGATAAATTGCTTCATAACATTATATGAATATTTATTTTTGATAGCTATTAGCCCTAAATTTGTGGAAAAAATTGTAACTAATTTAAGTAGAATAATATGCGTTCGTTTACATCCTCTGAGAAAAGATATTCTATGCCTTTATTATATTTGCAAATATGAAGATATTACACGAATATCTAGTGCTAAAAATTCAAATATTTTTGTAATATAATATTTATTTTGCTTGTAACAACGCACATGAAACACAAAGGTTAACAAACTATACAAATTATTACTTCCCTGAATTCCTTAATAATTTACTGTAGCTACTATTTTCCGCAGTTTTCCACGAATTTTCATTTCAGTGGTGCCGCAGTGAAAATATTTACAATTGAATACAAGTTTCGAATAAAATAACGGATGTTAATTAATATTGTAATATGTATACTCTTTATTTACTATAACACATTAAATTACTAAATTTATTGTATGTAATACTGGCTAATACTTAAGTACCGACGTGAATATAATATCTGTGATCGAAATAATTGTTCTTTGTTATCCGGGTAAATAACTATTGTGATGTACAAAAACGTATATATATTCTCAGTTTATGTAGTGTGTATGTGTGACAATGAGATCACGATATAATCTACAGAGCCATCTGAAAAAAAAAACTATTAGTATCTGCCGTAAACAGGCAAAAAGCGGGGAAAACCTTGCTACGACGGTTCAAAAATTAGGACATCGTCGACGGTACAATCGGACGACACACGAAAATAATATCCTTTAGATCAGGGATTCTCAAACTACGGGTCGCTGCCCATTGGTGGTTCGCAAGGGAATTTTTAGTGGACCTTCTTTATAGATTTACACATTAACCACCCGTTCTTTATTTATATTTTTTATATTGGTAACGGTTTAATTTCCTTAAAGTGGTCCCTAACTTTGCGAACTTGATTTAGATAGGTCGTAGTCCAGACAACTTTGGGAACCACTGCCATAGATGATACTAACAGTATTGTCTCTAAAGATAAACTTCGGATAGAGCATTTAAATACCACTGAATAGTAGAGACCTCTTTTTAAAGACCATATAAATAACATATTTTCAAGGAAAGTACGCGTACTGGGTACTTTCATAAACACACGTAGACACTTAAACAAAGAACATTTTTGTATTAAAATACAATACTTTATATCTCCCACACTGGCTACATTACATACATACATGAGAAATAATAATACCTAGCAAAGCGCAACTGCAATAGCCTGAGAGTGCTTTGTCCTTAGCGAGGTATAGTTAACGAAGTTGTGATTTACTAACAACCTGAAGTAAGTATGCACAAATATTACATAACCATGGACGGCGCCGCCGTACACCGTGGTCCTAAGGGGGGGCAAGACGAAGGGGGAACTGCGGTGAAAGTACTTCTACTGATGCATTTGAGAAATCCATCATCTTTAGCGAGCAACAAAATGATGTCGATTTCAATCTTACGACTTGTTTCGCACATCTTCATTAAACCGTATCGAAGTGCGTTATTCGCTACAGCTCGCTGCCCAATTACTTTCCAGACTAGTACCGCTTCCCCTTTTTTGGTGAAAATGTTACGCACGCTACTATTATTTATTCTGTGAACCGGGGACTAATTGAATTGTAATATAAACAATTATCATATTGTTTAATCGCGTATACGAGTATGTAAATGCGTGCAACCTATGTATGTGTATATCCATAAGTTTTGTTCGCGATACATAATACATTGTTATGTCTTACAAGTTACGTTATAACAGCTTTGACAACTTTCTACTTACCAGACGTGTTACGAACTGTCACACACTGTATGTATACTTGTATACGCACACACTTAAGTAATATGTTCGATATCTTCACCTCAATTAATTAAATCATTAGTCGCGTACATAGAATTTCAATTACATATTCAAAATTATACCTAAGTACTACTATGCCATAATTTTTTAACTAATGGTAGACTTAAACAAAACATGACACAATCAATAGCAATTGATACTCAAATGCTATGTTTACTTGTGCTTTTAAACGTTTTAAATACAACCCTTTATGGTTTAACAGCGTTGTCCTTGGTTGCACACACTCAGTGTATGGACAGCCAGATGTAGGGAGTTGTATTTTTTCCCCTACAATATGAACAAAGTTGTTGTTCTTAATTGAAGTATTATTATAATTTCTTGTTGTCCATTATTATAATGATGACGAGAATGTTTAAAGAGAGATTCTCTTTGATCTGCTAAAACCGTAACGATATTAACCAATATAGCCATGAGCTATTTCCTAAACGTAAGCAGGTTGTAATTATTAATCAAAATGAAATACTTGGTACATTTTATAAAAAAAAACAACAAATGCATTCAAAAGCTGTAAATAATAGATGTTACATCTACATGTAAAGGAACAGTTTCTGGTCCCAGTTACAAGTCGTTGGCGAGACCAATCATCTTATTGTGTAATCATTTACTTAATAGCTCGCTTTATATTACTTATCGTTGCGTCCTCTTGTCTCTCTCGACACAATCTAGAATTTTCTGCGCAATAATAAGTATGTGACGTCATAAATATCCAGTTAAAATTGTCGCAGTCAGTCAGCTACAAGTTCCGTGTAAACAATTACGTTTTTTATAAGCCCATTGAATACCTAAATAGGTGTATTTCATGTTAATATCTAGCTTGCGAACTGCTGTCCGGCTCGGATGTGACGCAAGCGGCATTGTGTCCACTTGCTCGACTGACCAATAACGATTTCACTCAGATTGTAGCTGTTTATATTTTTTACTGTCCAGACTTTGAACTCAACTGCTTCGCTTGCATAAAACTTTGTTTATTATTATTCAGTTCAGCTGTTTTATGAAAACTTTGATCCTTACAGTTCGGTGATTGATATAATGATACAACGGTTTCAAAGTAGTTAAGATTAGTTCTTTAACGATTATAGTATCTTTAACTGTTAGTATTTAGTTTGTGATGCGAAATATGTAGATTGAACAATAATTATCTTGTCAGTTCGAAACTTAAGGCTGTGGAACACTAGTACTACGTGTATTCGTAGACCTTATACTACGTCACACAATACTGTGCCCACGTTTTCCCGCAGCCAAAATGTTAAATACTGGCTTCTTTGTGCTTCACATAAGGACGCTCTAATTTCCAGTCTGTATCATTTAAACAAAACCTTCCAGAGCTTTTGCACTGACTCATGCCATTGAAGGTTCACAAATATTGTACTCTTTAGAGTTACAAGTTATAACTTGTAAAACTAAAATATAAGTAAGCAATCATAATGGTAAGTCTCTGAACCAAACTAATAAAGTAGAACAGTTTTTGCCACGTACACCTGTGTTGTAATACCAACGTAGAACTATTCAGCATAGTTGACATAATTTTGCCATTGGCGTGTAATACAAAACAAAAAATCTCAGTTATGTTTTCAGATAGTGTACCTTGACGTTTAGGTATTATTTACAAGGTTTAATCTGGTCCGGTCTGTTTCTTAAGATACGATTATAAAATTGACTGCCTCATTGGCCGAGTGGTCGCAAGCGCGACTGCCGGGCAAGGGGTCTCGGGTTCGATTCCCGGGTCGGGCAAAGTATTACTAGGTTTTTAAAAATCTCAGTAGTAGCACGGAGTCTGGAAAAATGTGCCCGGTATATGGCAATAGGCTCACCCCCTATTACATGGGACTCATAACATAAATAGTGAAAAGTGGGTGTTACATTGTACAGTGGCATTAAGTGCCGAAATGTGCACCTCTGCCTACCCCTTCGGGGATAAAAAGGCGTGATGTTATGATGATGATGATTATAAAATTGTCCTTGACTATTATAATGATTTTAATACTTTCAGACTTTTATTTGATAAAAATTATCCTTTAATATTTTGCCCAATTGTATGGCAACAGACTGGTAATCATAATGGGATTACGTGAAACTCAAAACTTATGTAATATTAACTAAAAAAATATCTAGATACAGAGCAACTAAACTCACGGTTTCAAAGATACATGCAATCATGAAAAAATATTAAGTATCACTACATAGTGCATACGTAAATATGTCCTTATACATATAATAACTACAACCTACCAACCAAACTACCTAGGTAGTTACTCACACACTTTATAAAGAAATATCTTCAGGTGTCTGAATATGAAATCTTGAAAATACCCAATATCTCAAATCTTCCTTATAGCAAATGCAATAATTCAAATAATTATTCTTTCATAAACTACGTTTAAAAAAAACAACTTATAGCCCCTCTTTTTTTATTAAGTTCATTAACTAATATACTAAGCTTACACTAACACTTTTCGGAAAACCGCACCGAAATAGGTGCAGCTAATCGCGAGATAATTGCGCACAAACATACATACATAAGTACAATTCAAACTGAGAACCTCCTATTTTTCTCTCTGAAGTCGGTTAAAAATAAACAAATCTTGTTATTAACTACATTATACTTCCACGTGTAATATAAAACTATATGGATACTACATAATCTAACACCTAATGTAGGTACCTTAACTTTTTAAATCAACATTTACTTTTTAGTTAGTACTTATATATACGACATACGTAGGTACTACTTATAACAATCTGCTATTAAAGGTGGTGCAATTTTCTGACATCAGAGTCTGCTCAGTTAGGAGAGTATTTAAATATCTGTTTATTTACTAGATGATGAAGTTGCGTGATAACTATGATAAGTGGCGAAGGCTATGTTAATAGGTGGCCAAAGACAATAGAACAATGATTTTTCCCACATAAACTTAGACATATCACAATTCTCGGAAATGTTTAAATGGGTTCGTATAAACAAATACCTGTACATACTTACATGCCCTTATTGAATAGTGAATTGCACTTAAAACGAATAAAACTTCAATAATGTATGACTCAGGTGTGTGTAAATAAAGTAAACAATCAATCAAACAATACAAGAATTAAAACATTTCTTTGGAAATGAAACGTTTCAATAAATGTCTCGTCGATCAAGTGACATCATCATATCACAGTTATCTAACATTTGTTATCTTACTGATTTTGAGTTAATTAGTCCGCGGTGCCGTTAGAAAAAAAAACCTAAATTATTCACAAATTAAAGTTCAATTAAAACATAGAAACACCAAATAACTATGTAGCATAAAGTAATTTTTAGTTCTTGGAAGAATTTAGCACAGTTTTGTTAAATTAATTTTGTTGTGTATTTTATTTGAATCCAAGTGTTAAAATAGGTTATCTTTACTCATAGGTCCTGCTAGGCCTCTGGATCTAGTCTACTTGCAGGCTAATCTAAATTGATCTTATCACTAGAAATTGGTATTTATTAATTGTTTCGAAGCCTTATTACCTAAGTGCTCACATGAATGACTGTCGAACAAGGGGTTTATTATTTCATTACTATGTCTTGGAAAGATATTGTTGTCTTGTTGAGCTTCTCGGTTTTTTTATAAGTAGGCAATTGGTGGTAGTAGTAGTCAATAGTTCGAGAGTTCGGATTTGTGTCCGACGGCGTATGATATAGAACTTATAGCGTAACTACTAGTGAGAGTATTGGGTCATTAATTTTATATATGAATCTATTCCCACCCCTTTAGTTGTATTGTTATATAAAGTTTAACTCTACGTAAACATTTCATCTGCTGGTTACACATATAAAAGAAATCTGTTTTATTTTGAAAAATGTAACTAGGTACTGTGTACTGTTCATACGTGCGTCTCTACCAACACCTTAGCAGAATACTTGTATGAAAATTATAAATTGGAAAATAAACTTAAAAAAAGTTACATTTTTCCTGTACCGATAAAAAAGGAAAAAACCAGATCGGATTTTTCCTTTAACTTTGGCATAGCACCAAATAACAAATTACAATAATCATCTCTAAGTGCCTACTGCCTACACTCATCATTTGAACTTTGTCTTATTTATAATTCCATATAAAAAAATAAAAATAGTCACATCAAGAACTTCATTCATCACTTCTATTATTTATTGTTGTTTAAATATTAACCTATGTAATATGTAGGTATGTTGTAAACAAATTCTGATTATTAGTGATGATATAGAAAACTTTGAAATAAAATTTTTTCGTGAATGTAACAAAACACCCTCATATCTGAAAGTCGTACTCAACTAATACGGTAGTTTAAATTCTATCACAAGTAGCCACAAAAGTTTAATAAGATCATGAAAGCATTCCCTAAATCCTTAGCGACCAAAGGGCCGACAACACTAGTAATGTAGCGTTTGTCCATGGGCGACGCCGATTGGTGATCCGTAGTACGTTTGCTGCCCAATCCCATGAAAAATACATGCGTTTTGGATACATATAGGTAGAATATTTTCTTTTGAAAGGTGCATATCTATTCTGTTTTAATGTTCTATTCTATTCAATATAATCTAACCCGCATCGAAGTACCTACCAGCAGCCTGTCACTAACATATATTGCCTTCGAATAAACATACCCAGTATTATTATAGAATATCCTCCACTGAATCTCTATAAAATAAAATACTTTATTGTCTTGTGAAATAGGAGTTCTAATAGGTACTTAAATAATTGTGTAAGTAGGTAATTCTACTTTGACAGAAGGTCATTAACTCGATACATCGTTTGGAATTAAATTATGGGAGTTAATTTGGGGCACACATAAACCGGTACAGCATATTTGAGATTGATGGTAACTAAAGCATGTTTACAAACAAGCGGCCACGCGCCAACGGCCCCACAACCAACAGAACAGCTAAGTAAGACTGAGAGAAAGGCGCTTTCTCGCAGTTATATCCCGCACTTAGTAGACCACTCAATTACCTATTATATCTACTGCATTTTATCAAGAGATAAAACTAACACAGATCATTTTCTGCTCATGCAAGAACAAGACGGACATTGAAAAATATTTCAAGTAAAGCTGATGATCGGTATTTGGTTCATTCCATCCTATTTCAACTATTCCATTGAAGTGATATCATTTATAAATAACAGGTTATAAAGAATTTAAAATTTAGGAGAATAAAGATCGGACTCCAGTCACGATTGTGACGGGCCGCCAGTAGGTAAACCTACACCTTACGTGTTTAACATTTAGATATTTGAAGAAAATAACGGAAATTGTCATACCGGTGGGGGTTCCGACGTGCTATACACTTCTGATGGTGGGTATTCCGGTTTCATGGTGATGGTTGCCATGGAGTCTGGTTGGTGCTCCTTTTCCATCACGAGATTTAATCTTCACAAATAAAAAAGAAGAGCCCTGGTTTTATCGCGCGCGTAATGTTTGACGTTCGATGTAGAAGTGCGCGCGAGTGAACGGCTCTCCACGGCGTAGGCGCAGTCGTCGATTCAAGCGTGGTGGGGTCGCGCGACACTGCCATAAACGCATTCACTTATGACAATAGAATTTTAGGAGCGTTTGCTAGACTTCAATGAAGACACATCTCATCTCTTCAAATCTACTAAATTAAGTTAAGCTTTCTCCAAAAAAAAATGTTTACTGAAAACCTACCGCAAATGGGTACCGCAATGAATTTTAAACGAAAGCAGATATCTTCCTGAGGATTAAAAAATAAAAAAATGACGATACTATATGCCTACTATTTATAAAAAATAGTATTCTAGGTAGCCAGCCAGGCAGGTAAATTAAGTAAAGAATTATAAGCTGTTTCCTTCTCGGTGAACATATCATCCTTTCACCTTTTACATATCGACATACCTAATGAATCCAATCTTATATTTTACACAAAAGCTCGAGTCTCAGTGTTGTGTTGTATAAGGAAAGGTAGTCAATTATATATCTACTTATACCTACTCCATTCACTCCAATAAAGGAGTATAACTATAAATAGAAAATCAAAAAAAAATATTCACATATATTTTTTGATTATTTTGTTTTACGTTGAATAGCTGACTCATTCAGTACCTACCTACAAATTCACTTATTGAGGTAAATATATATTTTTTTTAATTGCCCCACACTAGGATTTTCTCCTGTGTCGTGGGTGCGTTTACAAACATACAAGTTCACATACACAAAAACAACCAGACCTGAAACAACAATTTAATTTTGTGGATCACACAAAGTGTTGTTCAGTGCGGGAATCGAACTCGCGACACGTTGCACGGCAGCCGGTTGTCCAGCCACCGAACCAACCGTGCAGTCGTTTTTCGAATATTTTTTTTTTCGAATTCGAATCATCTGCCGAAACGAAGTCGCAGAGAACCTAACGGGTAACCGGGGCTCCGTCTCGAAGTGAAGGAGTAGGAACGGGGTGGTTTTTAGTCAGTAAGAGTCTGACACTCCCTCCCGCCTCACCTAGGCGGACGAAATCATTCGATGATTTTCCCCTTTAAAACAAAGGTAAATATCTACAAAGATATCTATGTATGTATATTTCGTTACCGTTACACAATTCCATAAAAAGTTTAATGATATTATAATTTTTAAATAAATAAAATTCTTACAACATCCTATTTAAATTTCAGCTGGTAAATAGGTACGTCACACCTACAAACACACGTCTCGGTGAAATTGTCGAGTCTAATCAAAACTTAAGCAAGTAAAAGATGTTAACTGCTGCGAATTTATGAGCAAAGCAATAAGAAATTATGTCAATTAATATTTTCGACAATAAAATCGCATTTTTACGGAGCTATGTAGGTTTTCTAAACACAAAACTCATTAAAAACCACCAAGGCAGTTAAACATCATCAAACTGGTGGTTTCTTGTAATATGATTTTCTTTTTTTGAACTTTTGAATTGAACTATGACCGGTGAAGGTATATTTTATTAGATAGGTCTGAAAGGTACTGTTTATTATTATTATCACTACTGGTGGTACCTCTATATTGAACATAGTTGCTGTAAGCAACTTGAATAGGATAGGGGAATACCTATCAATCGCTACCGCCGCTTACAGATTATTAGGGTCAAATAGTGATCTAGGTATAATGTAATTATCATATTTTCGGCTTACTCACCAGTTTTGACGAACGTTGCCTCTAGCATGGCTTGAAACTAGTCGAGTTCCAGAGTCACAATTAAGTGATTAAACCGAAAATATAATAATTAATTTACTATTACCTGTAATTGTTTGTTACACATAGGCTCATTTCTCTTTGCTTGCTTGTATTATGCTTACTGTATTTGTGTAATCAAATGTTGGTAACTCTTATGCTGGAATACTGAAACATTACAAAATTTTAAGTCGTGCTTAAATATCGTGCTGTCTCTGTCATTTTACAGAGAATTTGTAGTGACAGAACTATGCTTAAGCGCGACTTAAAATTGAGTAACGTTTCAGTATTCGGGCATTAATTAATAAATAAATATCTCATGAAAGTTTTAATACAAACCTAAGTACCTATAATGTCAATACCTACGTTTCGTCTGGTAAATGGTAATTGAAAGCTCCGGATACCTAACCCATTTGACTGCGCAATGATTTTCTGGGGCGACGGCTCGCCAAAAATGTTCGCTAGGTAATTAATTAATTTCCTAAATGTTATAAATAAAGGGTTAATTGAGTACCGTCATTATAGACACAATTAAAGAACAATAGGTTGCGGTGACCGGTGAGCTTGCGGTGTTTGACAGTTTAACTAAAAGCAACGTTTTACTCACGTAATTATACCTACTGAGAAAAGCTCCACTAGTTTCGAGTCGCCGCGACCGCACACGCTACTAAAGAGGAAGAGTTTATCTATGACTCGAAACTAGTAGAGTAACTTGTAACCGTAACTCCGACGAGTGTGCCGTGCGGCGTGTTATCATGACACCCCCGAAACCTAAATTTAATCTCACAAATGTGACAGTTGTGACATGGTGAGGAGACTGCAGCCGAGAGTTAAAAGATATAAGTCAGTTTATCAGAGAGCGCTACTGCCGTCTACTGAACGTTCATACATTCGGTTATCCACTTCGCTAGTATTTTATCGGAGTAGCGAGTAATATAGTAGCTAAATATGTCTAAACACCAAATGTATAACTGAGTAATTTACTGAAGTTCGAACGATTTCGTAGTAGCGAGAGAAAGCTACTAACCGCCTAAACCTAGAAACCGCCCTAGGCAAGCGTCTCATAGGCGCCTCTTAGTTTTTTGGCGCCGCCGTCATTCTACGGGCAGTTGGGCAGACGCCCTTCTATAACCTGACGTCTAAGGCACTTGCCTAGTTTGCCATATAATTAATACGGTTCTGCTACATTGCCGTCATCACTTGCTTGAGAAAAGTTTTTACGCATACAATTCGAAAGTAGTTTAAAAACTTAAAAACCTCATTTTAATCATTTGTCCTCAAAACTTCATTGACTATACGATTGACGCGTTGGTTAGTCAAAAGGTGGTTGCGTGACTGAAAGAAATGTATCTATGATCAGGAACAAAATAATTTAAAAAAATCTGACAACAATCAACAATGTAATGTCAAACCAAAAAGTGAATTACCTAATTAAACTGTCAAACACCAAGCGGTCACCGGTGACCGCGACCCAAAGAGTATCCGCGACCTATTGTTCTTTAAGCAGTGTCACCGTCACTGTCATTGTGTCATCTCACATCACATTCACATCTGTCAGTGTCACTGTCACTGTCAAATGGATTGTGGTGAGCAAATGGTCTCTTCTTATTTGTAATTTACAACAAGAAATCTCAATAATTTGCGTTTGGTGCAATTTAAAAGCACTTACTATTAATAATATAAACAATGGCAAACTCTGGAAAAGGCACTTTTCAACCGGTAAGTTGAACACTGAACAGTGAGGTTATATTATTAACATTGGTGTGTTTCAAATGTTAACTTACTGCTTTCAGGACTCAGATGTTCACATTTCGTTTGAAGATCAGCAGAAAATAAATAAATTCGCACGTTTAAATGCCAAAGTAGATGACTTTAAAGATGAATTGAAAGTTAAACAGAACGATATGAAAAATTTAGAAGAAGCTGTGGAAGAACTCAGTCTTGCAGATGATACTGATAAAATACCTTACCTCATTGGCGAAGTATTCATTTGTCAAGGACTCGAAGACACTTTGGTATGTAAGAAAATTAAGGTTTAATGTTATATGTTAAGTATAGAGAGTTATATTAATTTCTTCATAGATTATTTCTGTTAACATAACTAACACATTTCACTTGGAAAATAATAATTGCACGTGAAATGAACAGAAACTTTGTCACTGGACATTATGAGACAAACCTATATAGGTCTTATTTTCAACATCCTTGGATATTATATGATATTCTTTGACTTTAACCATATGTAATATGGAAAGTTTTAGGTTCAATTTGTAAGCAAGTACAAAGACTAATCATATCCATTAAAATCTATTTATATATTTTTTCAGAAATCATTAGAAGATGCCAAAACCCGTAAAGTAAATGAAATAAGTGAGCTTGAGGCCAAATGCGATGAGTTGAAATCTCAAATGGCTGAATTAAAAGCCCACTTGTATGGAAAATTTGGCAGTCACATCAATTTGGAGAATGAGGAAGATTAATATTTTGGTCGCTTTGTATTTGAATAAAAAAATACTGCACATAATACAAATATTTAATAAGTCAGTATTAACATTTTAAAGATAGTCCAGCTGCTTAAGATATTTAAATATCACAAATAATAATTATGTAATCTTGGCTTTGCCTGGCTTGTCACATGTTGCTACATAGTTATTTGAAACAAAGCCCTCTAACTCTATAATAATAAATATAACACTAAACATTGAAAACAAAGAATAATATTTTTTTTTATAATACCCAGTATATTAAAGAATGTATAATAGTTCTTTTAAAATATATTTTGCTATAAATTAATATGACACCATGTATCCAATAATCAATTACAAATTTCTAAGCTGAAAATGAAAGTTAATTTTTTAATTAACTTTAATAGAAGATGAACATGAAACATTTTGTTTCACAAAGAGAAAATATGATAAAATTAAAGCTAATTAATTAACTACACTTAAGTACATATTATTTCAAAATACCTATGATTACTAAATCACATTTTAATGTGTATGTTTACATCACACAACCAAATACTAGTAGCCCAACTAAATGTTATAGTGTAACTTGTCACAATGCAACTCAATTCGGACTTAGTACTCATAGTTAAACTACTGCAATAATGTGAGACATTGATGAACTGATTGTGAGCAATCAACTAAGCAACATACAATAATAGTTTTCTAAAAACTTAATCTTTGGTGCCCACATTTATAGTAGATAACAATAATACCCTAGATCTATCTCAATACTTGAATATATCACATAATGACTAAAATGTAATACTAAATAGGAATCACAAATGAAATATAAATACATCAATAATAGTTTTAGAAGAACTAACATTAAATTAAATACAGCCAATATTAACTAGTAAGATATGATTAAATAGGTATAAAATTTTCCTAATGCAATGTTACTAAAATTGTACCATTGTCACTTGCAATATGTAACCTTTGTGTCATTAACTAAAGCACCATAAAACTAATGCCAAAAATGTGCATTATCTGTATAGCAAACAATAAAAAATGTTCTGATAAAGAAATATCTCTGGTTTCAAAATATTTCATACTAAATACTATTATATTCGTAAGATATGAGACCATTATATTTGAACCAGTGGCTGTTAATGTTATCTCATTAATTGCCGTACACCAGTATGTTGAATGTTTATCTACACTCCACGTTGCAGACTGGTGCGTGAATTGGTATGTGAACTCTGATGCAAACTCTCCTCTTCATCTGTTTCTCGATCATTTGATATTTTAATAGCTTGATACCACTGGTTTGTTAGATCTGTCATTTGGCTTTTACAATCTTTTAATTCCTGGAATAAGAAATATTAAGTATTACTATTATATAAAGCTCAGGAACTACTAGTCTGATTTGAAAAAATCTTTGTGTGTGTGGCTACAAAACATTGACTGCCTTACTGGCCGAGTGGTCACAAGTGCGACTCGGCAAGGGGTCTCCGGTGTGATTCCCGGGTCGGGCAAAATATTAATGGGGTTTTTCAAATAATTTCACAGTAGCAGTCGTGCTGCTACTGTGAATTTAGTCTAGTCTTTAATTGTGCCCGGTATATGGCAAAATGGTCACCCTCTATTGTGGGTGTTTATTGTACAGTGGCATAATGTCTACACCTCTGCCTACCCCTTCGGGAATAAAAGGCGTGATGTTATGTTATTATGCTATAAAACATCATGGTACGATCAATACGAGCCGAGCAGAGCGGGTGGAACCGCGCAGAAGTAGCTAGTTTAATAATAATATTCGTAATCTTTACAGGTGTAAGGTAAGATGTAGTACATCATCACAATAATATTGTAAACATAATTACCATGTTTGGACCTAAACATTGAATGAAACAAAATGATAAGGCAAATAATTTTACAAGATAAATCCAGTTTATAAAAGCAGCAACAGTAGGGATGTCTCAGTCTCATCTACTTAGAATTGCTATTAGTAGTAAATTGAATGCTCATGCTCCCTGAACTGTTACTGCAATATATGAAGTAACATGACACGAAATAGTAGGTATAGTACACATTTTACCTGGTGCGTGAACCTCCTTGTGAAGAAAGGCGTCAAATACTTCATATCTAGCCTCACAAATCCTCTCAATCGCGTTGTATGAGAATAGTTTACCTGAAACAATATTTTTTTATTATGATACTACATATTATTAAAAACTATACAGTGGCCCACCCTCATTTTTCTAATTTCTCTAGCATACTTTATTGAAACTCTATTATTGGCATTGGCAAAATTTCGGAGCTACACGTATAGTACAGTAATTTGTAATAGACTGCACGGTTGGTGCGGTGGCTGGGCAACTGGCTACCGTGCAACGTGTCGCGGGTTCGATTCCCGCACAGAACAACACTTTGTGTGATCCACAAATTGTTTTTCCGGGTCTGGGTGTCATGAGTATGTGAATTTGTATGTTTGTAAACGCACCCACGACACAGGAGAAAATCATAGTGTGAGGCAACGTTTTATATAAAAAAAAAAGTATATAGACAGTTGCATGGAAATCTGCATTATGAAACAAGTAAATATTAGTTAAGATTTGTCTTGTACACACAATAGCTGTCATCTGTTGATAACATGTATGTATTGTAATCACACATTTCTATTTACCTCTAGTTCTTCTTCAGTAATCTCAGACAAATGTTCGGAATCTATGGTTTGACCCCACTCTTTTGTTTTAGACAAGCTCACTTCCTTCTGCTTACGTTGCGATCTCGAGCGCTTCGCTTTCTTGTTCGCCTGTAGGTACAATAGATAATTTAGTATTTGGTATATTGCAAGTTTAAAGTAGAAAAACATGTTTTTACATGTACGCATTGTTAATACTTACGCGCAAAAACTTTAATAAAGGCATTGTAGATCCACCAAAGAATAAAGTCGTGAATAAGACGATTATAAGGGTAGTAGTGATAATCACATGTCGAGTTTCATCAGAGAAACCCAAGTGAAGTGACAAAGCATATGAGATTGCTCCTCTCAAACCTGAAAAAAAAAAAAACATTCATGATGAAAGTCCCTCTTTGGTCTGTGACTCAAAACTAATAGAGCTTTTCTCAGTATATTGACGTGTGTAAGTCGTGATTTTTAGTTAATTAAATCTCACGATAGTTATTAAAAAAACATTAATTGATAGTATCATTATCATTTGAATGCTTCCTAGTAAAGTAATAAAAAGTTTAGTAAGTCTACCCAAGTTTTATAGATCCATTGACCTTGCAGGTAATATTTTGTCTTGAAAAAAGGTTTTTTATCAATATAGCAGTTAGTACTAATTCTTCATGTTTTTTATTATCAAAAGCACTTAAAACATAACTTACCACTAAACCACATGATAAACATCATTTTCTTAGTTATCTTGTGTTCACGGAATTTATTGCAGAGTAAAGCGAGTGGGAAGATATTAGCAGCTCTACCTACTAGACACATAACTATACTCCATACTACTAAGGCTGGCTCCACACGATGACGAAAGCTGAAAAAAAAAAATTATTTTTCTTCAATACATTCATAAGTACACATATTATGAATAAATAGACTAATTTACAGTATCTAATACTGAAGTAACAGTTAAGAGCACCTGCTGACTTAATGTATCACACTAACCTGAATATGGCTAATCCTAAATAAGCAAAGACACAGGTCTCAGCAATGAAAGCCAATGTTCTCATAGTCTGCTGCATAGTAACCTGTGTCACTGTTGACAGGTTGAAATGTGTGTAGTGAGACATTACTACTCCACAAAATAATATTGCCATAATTCCTGAAAATAAATGAGATAGGTTTAATCATAAGTTCTAAAATATGTTAAACATTACATGTATACATGCATTAAAATTGAACAGTGTTAAATTACCTGATAAATGAATTCCTTCTGCCAACACATAAGGTGCATAAGTAAACACTAACATCATGCCAAATTCAAGAGATGGATTTTTCCTAAGATCAACATGTTTCAATAGAAGTGCACTCACTAGTGCAAATAAGACTCCTATGCCAGCTGATGCAAAAAACATTAACCAGAATCTATTTATAGCTGAAAGAATTGCTTCCCCAGTGGACATAAGAGGATCATTAGAATCCAAAACCGCAGTGGTCAAAACAATAGCAATTGCATCATTTAGTATGCTTTCTCCAAACACCAACATGTTGAGCACTGGATCAACATCAAGAGCGTGGAATATTGCCACCGTTGCAACTGGGTCCACAGCTGATATCAGGGAACCAAAAGCAAATGATTCCACAAAACTTAATTTATACACAACTTGAGCTAATCCCAAAAGATATATTCCTGCACCAATCACAAAGGCTGATATTGCAGTTCCAACTATAGCAAACAATAAAATTGAGCCAATATTTTGAAAAAAGTTACCCTTGTGTAAATTATAACCCGATTCAAAAATAATAGGAGGTAAAAGAACTAAAAAGAAGGCTGTAGGTGAAAATGCTTCTTCCTTTCTCCAATTTGCAATATTTTTTATAGACATCAAGTTGATAATCATTCCAATTAAAGCACCGAGAAACACTATTACTACACTCTCTGGAAGATATGAAAATCCAGTTTGGAGCATGAGATGAATCAACAGAATACCAAGTGCTAAAACACATAACACAAAGAAGATTGCCATGGAACTATTGTGTTCATCTTCAGCAGAACTTTTTTCAGGTAAGGGTGCTGCATCAGATGGGCTAACAACTGAAGCATTCGGACTTGACGAAGAAGATATATTTACTAAAACAACTGATAGGATAGAATCATTCTTTTCTGTAACAGTATTTGCACTTTCAGTTGAGGAACTTGGTGTAGAATTTGTAAGTGAACTATTCAAGGTTGATTCGCTTGCGCTCGAAACACTCTCATTTTGTATACTAGCTCGTTTTGACCTTGATAGAATATATTCTGCATCGCTGTTTAATTTGGGATTTAAATTTCTTTGCAAGTTCGTTTCAGCGTATAGTGATTTTAAACTCCTCTGTTCACTTGATATCGATATCTTCGAGTGTTCTCCATAACAATGACTTATTATACATATTATACCAATCCAAAACACCTCTTTTCGAATAGGCATTTTAATTCCAATATTAAAAAATTTCTTCACGTCACATCAAACCAGCTGTATGTCTACTTTATTAATTATATTAATGTGTTCTTTGTAATTTATGTAGGAACTTGTAGTAGAGCAGATTTTATAGTAATTATCAAAGTCGTAGAACTCACGAAAAACCACAGAAAAATGTTTGGGAATTCAGGGGAATTGAATTTCATTACTTGCGTGACTGACTTAACTCACAACCTCAGACTCACTCACTTTTGCGTTGGCTGACACTGACAGTGTCATTTAATTAAAGAGATTACAATGATGAACCAATGTGCGACATTTTGATTTGAAACCAATTTGATTAAGATATTTCGATTTGATAGAGCAATTCTTTTATTGATTCGGTGAATGTTTAAATCCAAAAAAGTGATAAACTTCACTAAATAGGAACTAGGAAACTTACTAAATAGTATGCTTTGGCTTTTGATGCTGGTCCAGAATATGTTGCCAATTAGAATTAACATAGAATGCCATTCATTCACTCACTCACCCACAGACCTACTATAATATGGACCAGAAATACCTACAAAATACGCGTGCATACCTACTAGAAACCGCGGCCTAAAAATGGCTGCCATTGCTAGGGAAGTACTGTAGTCAAAACCAAAAAGTGTCGATATCGATAGCAGAGTTTTATACATTAAAAATCTTCTGGTCCTTTGAATTTTTTTTTAAAGGTACAAATCATCGAATGTCTTCAAGCCACTTCTGACGCAGCACTTCATTTTTAGGGAATTTGTGGAAATAAAAAAAAACATAAAAATTATTTCAGTTTTGTACATTTAGTGGTACAAATCATAGACTGAACTAAATGAAAGTACCTACTGTATGAAGAATTGATATTATTATGTTATGGTACTATCCCTATTTTTATTTCTATTCTGTAAGATTTATTTTCAAAATGGTCTCTTCAGACCCTTTATTTTGATACTCTACTCTACTGGACTCCATAACATACAAACTAAAAATATGTTAGTTTCTTATCGATATGTTATTAAATAAAATACATCACTATTTGTAAATCGTCATTTGTATTGTAAACAAAACTTAAACAAATTTAGCAAATGAAGTTAGTTATCATAAACAAATTTAATGTACATTTGGGGGCTTTTATTCTATATATAAAACAAGGCTAGATAAACAAGAAAACTAATAGTATGATAAAGTTTTTCTTAAAATACGGCTACTAACCTGTGCATAGTCAAATGAGGTTGATTGGGGTTTTTCCTTGCCCCACACTGAATTATTGAACAAGTAGACATATTAAATATGCACCACTAGACACTCACAGCACAAAACAAATAAGTTGGGAGCGTTTTTATTGTTAAAAATCGCAATCCAAATCTAATGTTTTTGTTTGCTTGACACCTGATGTACTACAAAACTATGCGGCCTAAAGATGGCGGCTGGCACGCGAGGTAGGTACCTTGTCAGAAATGTAGAAATGTTGCCAGGCAGAGAATAAACAAACAACATGACGTCTCTTTCTTCAAATGAGGAAACTCATTGATTAAAAAGAGACAAAGTGTGGTTTCATATTTCTATATCGATTTGATATATATTTGTATAAGCAAATAAGCTATAGATCATTACTTCTGGTCCATATTATAGTAGGTCTGTGCACTCACCACGAATGAATGAAAACTATGAAAAGTAGAACATGACGTAAACAAAATATAATAAAATATCTTATGTCCATGGCCAATGACCACTATTTACAATAGTTAGAAACAAAGCAAGATATTTTATAATTTGGGCACTACGTCAATAATAACTAACTGTGGTATGAAACCCTATTTGTTTGTAAGTTACAGTGACATAACTACGTAGCAAGCAAGATTTAAAGCCAATGGTAAGTTTAGGTCAAGAAGCTTTATATTTTTTAGCTAACATCACCTTATACACTTAAGATTTAACTATTTCCTTCGATGTACTATAAATTACATTAAGAAATAATTTCAAAAACGATCTTAGACAACCAAAACAATGGTTCCAAATGTGTAAACCGTGATTCAGGAAATATACGTAGAACGTGACGTATTAGCAATAACACATTGGTTTTGGTTTATTGCCGTTATTGAAGACATTTAGATTAGCAACCTACCTAATATAATTAATTTGTAATGATAAAGGCTTGTTGTTATTTGTTTATAGATTATTTGCAACTATTGGTTTGTTTACATATTAAATAAATTAACAATAGCATAGAATTATTACAATGTGTATGTAATGATAATTGCATTACCTATGTTGATTGTATACTACAGGCAATACCTGTCGATTTCATCATTATTAGTAGTGTTAATTATTGAAAAAGCAATGTTTTCTGTTACAGTAGCAGTAATAATGGACAAAGAAGATGCATTGTTAGGAATGGAGATGGGACGGTTGGAAATTGAACCTTTAAAAATAAATAAGATTAGAAATAATGAAAATCCGTTTACAACTCCTTTACTAAAGAGAAACTATCTGAAAGTTCCTCTTACATTTGTTCCTAATGAATCCAGATGTTCTTGTTCCAGTAAAAAGAAACTAAAATCTGGAATTTTAAAAAAGAAGCATAACAAAATTCTTAAAGAACCAGTACTAAACATATTAAAAAAAAGTAGTAATGCTGTCAAATTAGAAAGTATTGATAGCTGTGAAGAATCAACAAGTAGAAGTTTGTCGGATATTGAGGGTTGTGACCCATTAAGTTTGTGCACACTTGTTGATAACTGCAATCAGTTAAGAATATCATCTAGTGATAATAAATTAAATTTAGTAGCTAATGAATGCAGTGGTCGTAGATGGTGGAAGCATGATGTACCAAGTGCACAGGAATGTAAGGAGCCAAAACAACAGAGTAGTAGATCAGGCAGCTGTTCCCAGCAGGCTCTCAATCCCCCCTGTGATGTCACTATTGATGAACTAGCAAGCTATTTTGAAACATTGGTGCATATACCAAAAAAAATGTCCTCTATGGCTGAAATGATGTACATTTAATTCACATAAATGAACCAAACATAAGGACCTCATACTAAGTGCAAAGTTAAAGTAATATTGAAAGAATTTGTCAGTTGGAACTGGGGCAGGACCCGTTGACTGAATCTATTTACAATTTAATATTTTTTGACAGACATAGTTTTTCACTGCCATGCATTAAACCTATTTTACACTTTCACTTCAAATCAATATAACTCTTGATGTGTAGAGTGTTATATCCATAACTTTCAGCAATTTCTAACATCCATTTGTTTACTACTCCTTGGTTTTAATCCTAGTGTTATCTATATCATTTATTTTGTTGTACTGTAAGCGATAAATATCAAAAACTATTTTAAGATGGAAAATATTGTGAAAAATACAGTAAATGATGATTGAACAGTTTTTTATTACATATTGTTCAACCCCAACAAACATTTCAATGACTACAATATATGCAAGGAATGTGTAGGTACTTCAAAAAAAAAACATTTCCAATCTAATTGTATCACTCGTGACAAGTAACAAGTCTTATGTATAATATGTACATATTCAAAAACTAAGTTACAGTTAATTGATCGACGATCGGTTTTTACCTTAATTTTTAATGTATAATAAGTAAGTATAGGGGAATCGGTGCAGGTCAATGGAAACAGGCTCAAAGCTCATCCCTATTATAGGCAACTGATAGGTATTGGTGAAAATAGGAACAAAAATGTGCACCTCTACCTACCCCCTTAGGAAGCACCTTACTCCTTTTGCGAAGCAGTTATGCTAACTAAGGAGGAGGCGGGACGTGTGAGGCAGCGAAGCACTGCTTCCTCGCAACCCAGCCATCGTTAAGGATACACTGGACGTCGGGGATTGCGGGACGATCTCCGGCCACCGTAAGCGCGGGCCTGCGGACGGCGAGCATGGGTTGCTCCCCGTCCGACCAGAAACAGACCCGAACGTACGGCGCGTCGCGTACCGCGCGCGCCTCAAAGTGCCATCGGACCACCACAGATGGGGCACAACAGGGCCGATGCCGATTCGGAGTCGTGGAGAACCTAACGGGTTACCGGGGCTCCGGCTCGACGTGCAGGAGAAGGAACGGGGTGGTTTTAGTCAGTAAGAGTCTGACACTCCCTCCCGCCTCACCCAGCCGGGAGCAGTCATTCGATGATTTTCCCACCTTAAAAAAACCCCCTTTAGGAATGTTAGATAATTATATAAGTGTTTTGCCTAATACGGGCATTATAGCATAGAACTAAGATTTTTAGTTTCAAATGAGATGGCAGCATTATCAAGATAATTAGGTATAGTGGGTACCTACTTAGTTTCCGACTGACCATGATATGGCCACAATTCTCGTGATAGATGGGAGTAAATTGCCAAATTGTATACATGGTTACTGGTAACTGGACGTATTCTTTGCAGGACGTCATAGTAGGGTTAAAATGCAGCAAATTAGGCCACCAAATGTTAGAACATTTACCAAAGTTCAGTAGTTTTTGAGTTATTTCGATTTTTAAGTTTGCTGAAATTTTAGTTAATGTCATAGTTAATGACGTAGCAGATCTTTGTAAATAATTAAAAGTCCAAAAATGCCATAAGTAGGTATGCTAAAAATCTAAATAACTCAAAAACTACTGAAGTTCGGTAGTACATTTGGTGTCCTAATTTGCTGCATTTTAACCCTAATATGAAGCAAGGAATACGTCGAGCTCGAGTTACCAGTATTTTATTGCAATGAATGAATTGCATTCCATCTATAGTTATAATAATATTACAGTGATTGCACCACGAAATATTTGGCCATGGTTCGTGCCGTAACTGCCATAGATCATAATTATTATTTATTTTCTCTGGTGTTCTAATCTGACATTAGCTGTCACCTCAGCAGCGTATTTAAAATAGTATTGTTTGTTGATATAAATTGAAAACAAATACGTCTACCTTTAGATGTTGTATTTAGATCACTGGCACAATTAAATACTTTATATCAATATAAGTTTCAATCCAAA